TTAAGAATCCCCCCAACATTTTTTCGTTTGGACATGGTTTACCTGGTCCCATTTGTTTTCTTGTTGTTGAAATTTATTTGTGAAGAACCTTACCGGTACATGATTCGCTTTTCAGACCCCAATGCTGACGTCTGGCTTCGTTTAGATTGTGAGGAATTAGTTTTTTGTATTTTATGTCTCTTATCAGGCCCTCATTATTTGGAAGTTTTAGGAAAGTGGGTTTTCTGTTTTGTTGGCTCCATATCTGCTGGTTTAAAGGTGTGTTTTTCCCCGACACTTAGTAGTTGGTGTGTGCCTTTCACTGCGCTACCCCGGGGTTTGTTTCAGCTATAACATTATTTGCTACTTTTTTTCCTTTTTGATCCTTAGGTTTAAATCACCAACTAAATTTTGGGGATGGAGCTGGAAGGTTTTCCAAACAGTAATCGATTTTTAGTAGCTGTTTCCTTTAAAGTTGGGAGGTGTATTGGGGTTGTAAAACCAAAAGACTAGGTTTTGGGGTTTTCGTCTTTTTGATAGAACTTCAACTACCTCTTTTTTGGGGTTCAGCAACCGTGCAGTAAGTGACTCTTTTACTTCAGGCCCAACCCCCATTGTTGCTGTTTTTTCTGTCGATCTAAAAAGGTTGTACCCCCTTATCCTATTTCACTGTAAAGTGATCTTTTGTGTGAGTCTCTGTGAAGGCTGCAAACATTGCTTTTGACTCCACTAAAGTCCATGGAAAAAGGGATTTTTTTGTTGGGGATGGCTTAAGGGGCCCCGTTATTGCAAATTGAAAGAGGTTGTATTTGTGTTTGGTTGGGGGGGTTTGTTTTTGGCATCAGTATTGTAAATTCGGAGGGCCATGGGGGCCCCTGGCTGCGCTCCTTTTAAACAAGGCTCCAAGGGGGTGGATATTTTTGTTATTTCCTTTTATTTTTTTTTTCGTTTTTCCCGCCACAAAAAATACCTGGATTTTAGTCGTAGCTACTATTGTTTGTCCGGGGGGTTGTGCCCCCTGGTCCCTTTTGATGGTATGAGGGCACTCGATGTTGTAACACGCTTTGGGGACCCAGGGTGGCACATTTTTGGGGTGGAAAAAAAGTCAGGGAAGAGCAACCACCCTTTTGACGGGGTGTACATTTTTTTTGGTGGTCAAAGTTGCATGTCCATTTTTTTTTCCCTGTTTTCCTGCTTCGATGCCCCAAGTAATATTTGCACAAAATTTATTTTTATGGAATTGTTTGGGGGGTGTGTTTTCAATTTCTGAGGTTTTGGGGCTGCACTATAATCTCATATCCCAAACCCGGCCACCCGTCCCGGGTTCCCTTTTTTTCTCCAGTGGGAAGAAGGAGGGACTCCTCTCCAAACATTGTATGTGGGCCCGGCTTGGCAAATGGTTGTATATTTACTGTTTTGTGGGTTTTGGGTTTTCCCTAGGAGAGTCTGGGTGGGAGAAAAGGTGGGGGGTGGGGGGGTCGCCTGGGGCGGGGGATGGGTGGGGGTATGACTGTATGGTTGCGAAGAGTCACTCCCGAGGAGGGGTTTCTACTAATTTTGTATGGGGATATGGCATTGGTAGTGTGGAGGAGTCTTTAAAAGAATCCGATTTTTTACAATGGCTGGGGCTGGGTCTGGGTCAGCCCTAAGGTGGGCACTGAATAGCTTTGTTTTTGTTTCCCGTTTTTTTCTGTGGGTTTTCTTATTTTTGGGGGCGTTTTTTGTAGATGGGCTTCCCCTTTTTTGCTTTACTCCCTCCATCTTCCCATGCTCTATATATTCCGGTAGACTTTAAAAAAGTTCCCCAAATAAAGTACCCATCACGTGTCGGGATTATGCAAATTAATGTATGAGAATCGTATTAATCAGTGCTTTCTTTTGGGGTAGGAAAAATAAAATTTTTCTAGGCAAGGGGAGGGAGCTCTTTATCCTTGGGCAAGATTATTACGATCAAGGTACATCTCCTGAAAGGATTTATTCTCAATAAATAAATCAAATAGTGCAATTTGTTGCTTAGATTTTTGTTTCCTGTGATGCGTGCTTTTCCCTTCTAAAAAAAAAAACAATTTGGGGTAATTGAAAACTGATTCACAAAATTGTTACCTGTTTATGGGTTTTAAATTGAGTTATGAGAGTTGAGAGGCCAAAAAACATGGCATATGAGTGTTTCTAGGTCTTTTCACCATGTGTTTACGTTTTTGACCTGAGACTTTCATAAATTCCACCAAGTTAAAAAGTAAGCCAAACTTGACTTACTATGATAAACAAGGGGAAATAAAGGGGGGAAAAAAGCTATGAGTTTTTTTCCAGCTTATTTTGGTCACATAGGGTAAGTTCACCTAGTCATGAGTTTTCTCCTCCTGCTGTTGTAAAAAAACGGTAAGAACATTTTTTCCCCTCGTGTCACGATTTCCGGCAGGAAGTGAGGCGGCCCTCACTCACCTCACTCCACTCCTGTGTCTTTATAATATATATATATATATATATATATATATATATATATATATATACACTTCTGCACTCGCGTGTTATTATGTTCACGCTGAAATACTACTAAGAAGTCACCGTGTGGTACCTGCAGCACCGTGGTATAACAGGTTGTTGCTGCTGCTACATGTACCGTGAGTCGACTGATACACCTGCTGCCTCTCTCCACTCACTCACTAGTGGATTCAGCGCTTCTTTTTTATTAGAATAACAATGTGGACTCACCATTAAAGAGGTAGTACCCAGGTGTCTCTTAGGTGAACGGGAATAAAATCGAGGACACTAGGATCTGCACCAGAGTGTCGTGTTGAGGACACTAGGATCTGCACCAGAGTGTCGTGTTGAGGACACTAGGATCTGCACCAGAGTGTCGTGTTGAGGACACTAGGATCTGCACCAGAGTGTCGTGTTGAGGACACTAGGATCTGCACCAGAGTGTCGTGTTGAGGACACTAGGATCTGCACCAGAGTGTCGTGTTGAGGACACTGTTAACCTCCAAGAAGATATAAACCAAGTTTTCCAATGGGCAGCGGAAAACAATATGATCAGTGAAGAAAAATTCCAATTACTCCCTTATGGAAATCTAGAGATATAATAATTAGAACTGAGTATACTACAAACTCTGATCATACAGTAGAGCGAAAAAATAAGGTGAGGGACCTGGGAGTGGTAATGTCTGAGGATCTCACTTTCAAGGATCACAACAGTGACACGATCACAACTGCAAAGAAAATGTTAAGATGGATAATGAGAACGTTTAAGAGATGCCAAGCCAGTGGTGAACCTTTTCAAATCACTTGTTCTCTCTAGGCTGGAATACTGCTGTACATTAACATCCCCGTTCAAAGGTGTACAGAGAACCTTTACGGCACTTACAAGTTCTGTCAAGCGCCTTAACTACTGGGAACGCCTGGAAGCACTTGACTTGTACTCACTGGAACACAGGCGAGAGAGACATATCATAATCCGGGGCCCAAAACTGATCAACAACCTCACACCAGGAATAAGGGTAATCACCTATAAGCCCCTGGCTGCCTTCAAGAGGGAGCAGGACAGATACTTTAAAGTCGGTGCTGGCTCAGCCGGGCTGCGTGGTTCGTACGCTGGACTACGTGCGGCCAGCAGTAACAGCCTGGTTAATCATGCCTTGATCCACCGGGAGGAGTGGTCGTGGACCGGGCCGCGGGGGCGTTGATCCCCGGAATACCCTCCAGGTAGGTTAAGGTAGGCTGGGTTAGAGTAATACACAAATAACCCGCATATAAGAGAGAGAAAATTATAACGACGGTGGTCAGTCCCTCAGCCCCAGGCTGAGGGACTGACCACCGCAAATTCTTTTTGTCCAAGGTTGGTGGAATGATTATATCATCTTTATTTCATTTCTACTGTTCCCTTTGTATTTAACTGAAGAAGCCTACTGTGTGGGCGAAACGTTTCATCAATAAAGATGGTTTAGAAAGACAGGTAGGCAGACACTATGACATATTTATTAGAAAACGTTTCGGTCCTGTGACCTTGATCACTTCTAACATACAGAGGTAGATATATATATATATATATATATATATATATATATATATATATATATATATAAAATATATATTTATTATATATATATATATGTCGGTGACACAACAGAACACTAGAAGCCTCGGTAATCGCCGTCACCTACATAATAGAACGTAACACTAAACTACAAAATTTCTTAAAACATTAGTATACACGATACTCAAGCAGCACCAACCCAGCAACCCAGGAGTCACATGATCTCATCGTCTACCCGTCCTCATCCCAACATGACATTCTTCAGGTCGCCATGCGTCACACACACCTCACTCTCCGCCTACATATAATATATTTCTACCTCTGTATGTTAGAGCCGGGTCGCCGTCTGGAGAAGACCCGGGCCGGAAGTACTGACAAACCTACAACAACATGTATGTTAGAAGTGATCAAGATCCCAGGACCGAAACGTTTTGTAATAAATGTCGTAGTGTTTGCTTACGTGTCTTGCTAAACCAACTTGTCGGTATTTATTACCAAGGTTTATACCACCAGTGAAGATACCTAACTGTTGCACATGTGTCTAAGTTGAAGTTGCTGACACAATGTCTAACTACAGGCAAATGTGACTTTTTTTTTTTTACATGGATTCGTTTGTTAAGTGTTGTGGGTGGCTGCCCCTTATATGTTGTACATGTACTTGTAGAAATAAATATTATTATTATTATTATTATTATTATTATTATTATTATTATTATTATTATTATTAAGGAGCGCTGGGTTGGTTAATGGGGTTTAAAATCCTTTCTGCTTCACAATCGTCATTAAGACTGAAGAATACTTTAATACTTTAAACAACGATTAAAGTAAACTCTTAGTATATATACACTTGTAAGTATGTTTCAGTGTATATACACCGAGATATAACCCCCCCCCCCCCCGTCAGTGTATCCTGACTCGGGTTCAGAAATAAGCTGAGGTGCGACAAAAGCTCTTAACCTCTAAATTCACCGTGTATTTTTTTTTACAGGAAAGGAAGCCAGCGAGGCATCAAATCCAGAGTGAGGCTCCAGGAAGGAAGGTGGCGGAACGGATGAAGTTGTACGGTACGTTTGATATAACACGTGTCTCCATTATGTACCTGCACGACGCTGTAAGAGAGTTGCTTCCACGCTGTGCTGTGCGGGGGCTTCATGGAGGGTTTTTACCCTTGGGTGGATGAGGAACTCGTTAGAGGGCACATGTACAACTTTTATGGCTGTAGGTCTTTCAAAAATCGAAATTAAGAACAAAAGAATGGAGAAACGCTGGAAAAGGCGTACTGGCCCATACAAGGCAGGTCCTTATAAACACCACCGGTACCCAAAACTACCCATAAATTTACTTCCTTACAAGTACACGATAGATTTATAAGAGTGTGTTTACGCGCGCGCGCTGTATGTACTCTCCTGTATGTGATTGCAAGGATGAAGTCTCAGCTCCTGGCCCCGCTTGCTGCTACTGGGGTTCATTCTCTCCTAGCCTTCAAAGTCATATCGTACCTCTTAAAACTATGTACGGGTCCTGCCTTTATCACTTCCTGACTGTTCCAAGACTGAATACTTCCTAACATTCCTGTGACTCATTTTGGTGTTCAAATTCTAGCTGTGCCCTCGTGTTCCTATTTCCCGCCTCTCGATCATTGTGTACCTGTCCCCGTTGTCAAGTCCTTTCAGTACTGTGCATGTTGTTAGGTACCGTAGCACCCCTGATACTTTCCTCTATAATTAGGTCTGGCGCTTTTTAATCTTTTATATCTAATACACCTTTGCTCCGGGACTAGTCTTGTTGTGAACCTTTGCACTCTCTCCAGTTTCTGACATACTTGATCGGATGTTGGTACCATACATACATACGGTGCTGTATACTCCGATATAACCATAAGCAGCATCTAGTATCGGACAATTGATTAAACGAGATGGGGCATGTTTAGCTTCCTGAGAGTGTCTTCAAATTCATATGAGTGTCTTGAAAGTTCTCTGAGTGTGCTGAAGGTTCTGTGAGTGTCTTGGAAATTTTGTGAGAGCCTTGAAGCCTCTAGAGTCTAGAGTGTTTCTCAAGCAAGTGTAGTGGGAACAGTCTCGGTGCCTCGCTGGCCAACACTATATTGTTCCACCGCCTCTAGAGTCACTCCACTTCCTGATAACACTGAGGCAAATTCTTGACAACCCTGATGATAACACACCTAATCATCAGTGTATTTTATCTACCTCTTTAACTCATCGTTGTGTACCCGTGCTCACCAGCATAGTCATACAAACGTTGTGATTGTGTCCGCCCTTGCGAGTCGTCTGAGTATCGTGTTACGTTGTTATGATGTCAACCCTGGCTCTTCTACCATGCAAGATCATCCTGAGTTGCAGTCTCTTCTTACAGGTCAGTTCTTTTTCAGCTCTGGAAACAGTTTGGTTGCAAACCTTTGGACTTTCTGTAATTTCTGTGTGCACATGTTTAGGTGTCGGATCTAGGCAGGTGTTGCATACTATGAACATTGCTTGGTAAATGTGGTTAAAAGTCTCTCCACTACACGAAGACCATTAAGTCTGCATGTCGCCTGTTCATCACCAGTCAAGAATACTTTAATTAACCTCCAATATAAGTATTAAAGTAAATTTTCTATATACACACCTCTCTGTATATATTCTTGTTTGGTCTGACATACGTCGTGTGTATGATTTTGAATGACTGTTGAGATTCCTGACAACCGTTCTATGCGGCTCTGACGTGTGCTAGGCGCGCATACCCTGCTGACATGATTGTTGACTTGCGCCTCCGGCGATATACTCCGTAATAATACTCACACCAAAGGTCTTCCTCCTTGCTCCAAGTTTGCATCATCTTGTTTCCAGTCTATACTCCGCTACCAGTCTTCTTTCACCTTACCTGATATTCACAGACTCCTACTCGCTGGGACTGGTTTCCAATAGCTATTTGCCTGATTATCACTGTTTCTTTTGTCCTAAAGTAGCATATATGTCTAATCCTTTTTTCCTCTCTTAAAGTTGTGGCTAGTTTATTGTGTACCACATCCATCCTGTGGATGGTAGTGGCTAGTTTATTGTGTACCACATCCATCCTGTGGATGGTAGTGGATAGTTTATTGTGTACTACATCCATCCTGTGGATGGTAGTGGATAGTTTATTGTGCACCACATCCATCCTGTGGATGGTAGTGGATAGTTTATTGTGCACTACACATCCATCCTGTGGATGGTAGTGGCTAGTTTATTGTGTACTACATCCATCCTGTGGATGGTAGTGGATAGTTTATTGTGTACCACATCCATCCTGTGGATGGTAGTGGCTAGTTTATTGTGTACTACATCCATCCTGTGGATGGTAGTGGCTAGTTTATTGTGTACCACATCCATCCTGTGGATGGTAGTGGATAGTTTATTGTGTACCACATCCATCCTGTGGATGGTAGTGGATAGTTTATTGGGTACCACATCCATCCTGTGGATGGTAGTGGATAGTTTATAGTATACCACATCCATCCTGTGGATGGTAGTGGATAGTTTATTGGGTACCACATCCATCCTGTGGATGGTAGTGGCTAGTTTATTGTGTACCACATCCATCCTGCGGATGGTAGTGGATAGTTTATTGTGTACCACATCCATCCTGTGGATGGTAGTGGCTAGTTTATTGTGTACCACATCCGTCCTGTGGATGGTAGTGGATAGTTTATTGTGTACCACATCCATCCTGCGGATGGTAGTGGATAGTTTATTGTGTACCACATCCATCCTGTGGATGGTAGTGGATAGTTTATTGTGTACCACATCCATCCTGTGGATGGTAGTGGATAGTTTATTGTGTACCACATCCATCCTGCGGATGGTAGTGGATAGTTTATAGTGTACCACATCCATCCTGTGGATGGTAGTGGCTAGTTTATAGTGTACCACATCCATCCTGTGGATGGTAGTGGCTAGTTTATAGTGCACCACATCCATCCTGCGGATGGGAGTGGCTAGTTTATAGTGTACCACATCCATCCTGCGGATGGTAGTGGATAGTTTATAGTGTACCACATCCATCCTGTGGATGGGAGTGGCTAGTTTATAGTGTACCACATCCATCCTGTGGATGGTAGTGGATAGTTTATTGTGTACCACATCCATCCTGTGGATGGTAGTGGCTAGTTTATAGTGTACCACATCCATCCTGTGGATGGTAGTGGATAGTTTATTGTGTACCACATCCATCCTGTGGATGGTAGTGGCTAGTTTATTGTGTACCACATCCGTCCTGTGGATGGTAGTGGATAGTTTATTGTGTACCACATCCATCCTGTGGATGGTAGTGGATAGTTTATTGTGTACCACATCCATCCTGCGGATGGTAGTGGCTAGTTTATTGTGTACCACATCCGTCCTGTGGATGGTAGTGGATAGTTTATTGTGTACCACATCCATCCTGTGGATGGTAGTGGATAGTTTATTGTGTACCACATCCATCCTGCGGATGGTAGTGGATAGTTTATTGTGTACCACATCCATCCTGTGGATGGTAGTGGATAGTTTATTGTGCACCACATCCATCCTGTGGATGGTAGTGGATAGTTTATTGTGTACCACATCCATCCTGTGGATGGTAGTGGATAGTTTTAATTGTGTACCACATCCATCCTGTGGATGGTAGTGGATAGTTTATTGTGTACTACATCCATCCTGTGGATGGTAGTGGCTAGTTTATTGTGTACCACATCCATCCTGCGGATGGTAGTGGATAGTTTATTGTGTACCACATCCATCCTGTGGATGGTAGTGGATAGTTTATTGTGTACCACATCCATCCTGTGGATGGTAGTGGCTAATTTACTGTATATTCGTCTTCATCTTGTGACTTAGAACACGAACACAACGTACAGTTAAGTACAGAACCAGTTCAAGAACTACACTCAGGCCTAGAACAAATACACAACTTAAGTCACGTCCAGAACACGTACACAACTAATAGTCACGTCCAGAACACGTACACAACCAACAGTCATGTCCAGAACACGTACACAACTAACAGTCACGTCCAGAACATCAAAAGGAGCACATGTTACAAATACCTTCACGTTGGCTGTTTCCTGTTGCTTTCTGTTTGTCTGTCATGGTCTGTGGTGGTGTGTGTTTGTCTGTCATGGTCTGTGGTGGTGTGTGTTTGTCTATCATGGTCTGTGGTGGTGTGTGTTTGTCTATCATGGTCTGTGGTGGTGTGTGTTTGTCTATCATGGTCTGTGGTGGTGTGTGTTTGTCTGTCATGGTCTGTGGTGGTGTGTGTTTGTCTATCATGGTCTGTGGTGGTGTGTGTTTGTCTATCATGGTCTGTGGTGGTGTGTGTTTGTCTATCATGGTCTGTGGTGGTGTGTGTTTGTCTATCATGGTCTGTGGTGGTGTGTGTTTGTCTATCATGGTCGTGGTGGTGTGTGTGTTTGTCTATCATGGTCTGTGGTGGTGTGTGTTTGTCTATCATGGTCTGTGGTGGTGTGTGTTTGTCTATCATGGTCTGTGGTGGTGTGTGTTTGTCTGTGGTGATATGTTTTGGTCTCTCATGTGTGTGTGTGTATGTGTGTGTGTGTGTGTGTGTGTGTGTGTGTGTACTCACCTATTTGTACTCACCTATTTGTGGTTGCAGGGGTCGAGTCCTAGCTCCTGGCCCCGCCTCTTCACCGGTTGCTACTAGGCCCTCTCTCTCCCCGCTCCATGAGCTTTATCAAACCTCGTCTTAAAACTGTGTATGGTTTCTGCCTCCACTACGTCATTTTCTAGGCTATTCCACTGCCTTACAACTCTATGACTGAAGAAATACTTCCTACTATCTCTCTGACTCATTTGTGTCTTCAACTTCCAATTGTGGCCTCTTGTTTCTGTGTCCCCTCCCTGGAACATCCTGTCTTTGTCCACCTTGTCTATTCCACGCAGTATTTTATATGTCGTTATCATGTCTCCCCTGACCCTCCTGTCCTCCAGTGTGGTCAGGCCGATTTCCCTTAATCTTTCTTCATAGGACATTCTCCTTAGCTCTGTAACTAACCTTGTCGCAAACCTTTGTACTTTCTCTAGTTT